CCCTCCTTTTTCTTGGACAGTAGGGACTTGCCAACCCCTAGTAACGGCCAGCTCACTCATTCCCTCTCGCTTGCAATTTTTTTTTTCTTTTTTTTTTTCCTTTTGTATGCCAAGTGTCAACTAGCCGTTAAGGCCCTTTTCTAGGCTCTTCCTCTTGGTTTTGGCCCTTCCCGAGCTCAAGGGTCAGTCCGTTATTTCTCGGACTGCACCTGTGGCCTTTCCATGCCCATGAGAGCCTCCGTTTGTCTCTACCTCTCCCAAACGGTAGGCCCCTATATCCGGATTTTCTCCCGGGGGCCTATTTTTCTCACGGAGTCCCTTTTGACTTCATTTTCTTGGGGGAGGTTAATCCGAGATTCTTCGGATTGCTCCCATGCCTCCCATCGCATCTTTCTTTGTTTTTTCTTTTTCTTTTGGCCTTCCCGCTTGCTCCTACTAGCGCTTATGCTAGTGGTGCTAATATTCTCAGCCGTCGATCTTGACGGTGCGTCTTCCTTTAATTCTTTGCACATCACAGTGCGCCACAATTTTCCCTTAGCGCGCCGCACGTCCCCGCCACTTTTCCCGCGCTAGTCCCCGAAACTAGTCCCGCTAGTGGTCCCGCCGGTACTCGTCCCGCGCTAGTCCCCGACACTAATCCCGCTAGTGGTCCGCCGGTACTCGTCCCGCGCTAGTCCCCGACACTAGTCCCGCTAGTGGTCCCGTCGGTACTCGTCCCGCGCTAGTCCCCGACACTAATCCCGTCGGCGGTGCCCGACACTTTGCCTCGCCGGTGGTCCCTGACACTTTGCCCCGTCGGTGGTCCCCGACACTTTGTCCCTCACGTTTAGTATGCCGATCCCTTCGGTTGTGGTTCTTTACCTAGCTCATGGCCCCTCGTCCTTCTTGAAGTTGCACCCTGGTGGCGCTTTTGGCCCGGCTACCTCCTCACGCGCTGACACCCTTCTTATCAACTCCTCACCTTCCTTGATTCTCCTTTCCCTGTGGTATGCTACCTACGACATTACTTTTCCTGGCGGTCCTCCTTTTCGGGGGAAGTGTCGCCTTAACTAATTTCTTGCGTTTTTTTTGTCGCTCGCCGTTCTGCTAGTTTTTCCTTGGTTCAGTGGTCCAGGGCAACCTCTAAATCCCTAGGCGCCAGTACTAATGCCTTCAATCTTTCTATCGTTCTTGCCTCCGGTTTTCTCTGCCATGCACAATTTTGTGGTATACCGCCTCTCAATGTACAAGACTTATCTCGGGACCCACCAGTCCCGATAAAGGCGAGCGGAATCCAAATCTATGTCCGTCCTCCTGTACAACACCGTGTCACCCACATCGCACCCAACCGCTGTCTTGTCAAGAATCCACGATTTCCCAGGCGTGTGTAGGGATGAAGAGCCTCGGGCTGCTCCTGCACGCCCCCTGAAACCCCTGGAACATCTACCCTGCTCAGCCCTACGTTGGAGGTAGACCCGGACCACACCGGCGACACAGGGGCCCATCGAACCGAAAGAATCCTCTGCCAATTGGGTTGTTTGAGTTTCGGGTTCAGTACCCGTCGGTCCAGTCGAGTCACATCGCGCACAGCGGCCGTTGCCAACTCCTCGGCATCCAATGGATGATCCACCTCCTGCGGAGCCGGTCGTCGAGGACGTGGACGCTCAACCATCGGCTCAGGCCCCAAATCCTCGATGACAACAGGTGGCACCATGTGGAATGCCACGTCGGGCGGCTACAACCGTCGGGCCTCGACCAAGTGCAGGCCCAAGAATGGGACGACTGGACCCGTCTGTGTCTTATGACCTCTCGCCGGTGCATCTCTAGCCCCACCGTCCCCCCCCTCTCCACCCTTCGTGGCCTCATGCACTGCCTGTCGCCCACCCACCATACCCGCCTCCGCCTCTGCTGCCACAACCTCCTAGCATCCTCCCCCACCACTACCCCACCCTCCCCACCATCTTTCCCCGTCTCTCAATGCCTACGCTCCTCTAAGCCCCGTGCGAACGCCTGCGCACGCGGGTCGTTGGATGCCATCAACCGAGCCCTGTCTCGCTCCATGATGTCGCGTGTTGCAGTTGGAGGCTCAGGCGTCGTCCTCTCTCTCGGGGTCTGCGTCAAAGTCTCGCCTGTCGCGTCGCCCCTCGAGGGAGCCCGATCCGTCGATGGGGCCCATCGACAAATCAAAGTCGAAGCGGATCCCCATCTTTGAATCCGATATCCCCAACCCCCTCGCCACACTGGGGTTCACACCCGCCATGACCGGATCGAGCTCCTCCGTGAGGAAGTGCTGCATGAGGCGCCCGTCACCGCCCCCAGCGTTGTCCGCACCGTCACGTTGCATGGCAACATCCGGCACCTCCATCACTGCGGCTATCGCCTCCTCGTGGACTGCCACCTCCCCTCCACTGCAGCTGCTGACGGTGCCTCCTCCTCCTCCACTGCTGCTGCCACCTCCCCCTCCACTGTTGTTGCTGCTACTGTCGCTACCATCTCCTCCACCACCACTGCCGTTATCTCCTCCACTGCCGCTGCTGGTGCTATCTCCTCCTCCATTGCTGCTGCCACCTCTCCCTCCTATATTGCTGCTGCTGCTGCTATCTCCTCCACCGCCGTTGGTGCTGCTGGTGCTGCTGCCACCTTCCCCTCCTCCTACAAGATCCCCGGGGAAGGTGATCGTAACCTCAGTTGGCGGATCGCCCCGCCTCTGCGGAGAAGTCCGCGATGAGGCAAGGAGGACGCCAACTCCTCTGTGTATGCCGCTGTTGTGGCCGACTGAAGTGGCGCGACGAGCGATGGTGGTGCAGGACTAGGAGCAGAAGGTGGCGGCATGGATGACTCTCGCCTCGTCGGAGTAGGAGTCGTCATCCGCGCCTCTTTGCGGCTCGTGCCTGCATGCGAGCCCCTGAGTCTGTTAGCGCACACATCGTCCGTGGAAGCCACCTCCCCGAAATGGCCCCAAAACTCCTCGTCTCCCCCCAGCATCTCCCTGTCTGACCGGTCCGCCGCCCATCGTGCAGTGTGTGGTCTTGTCTCCTCGTCGTCGGGATCGTTGTGTGTCTTGTCGATCTCATGGGGAATGCAAAGCGCAGGGTCATCTGCCGCCTCGGGTACCGGCTCCTCATCCGAGTCATCCTCCCTGTAGGTGGGGACGGAAAATGCAAGCACGTCTACCAAATACAGCATCAGCAGAGGGCGGTGCGAAAGCCCCGATGGGATCGCGGGTAATAAGCGCAACCTGTCAGACAATCTCCTCCTCCGTCATCCCCCTGCGCGTGCCCATGCGTACAGGCTCCACCTCGAGTCCTGCCTGGCAATCGAGCATGCCCTCGTCCCGCTGCCATGGCAGCACATAACCGCATCCAGCCCGCCGATACTCTGTCAACTGCACATTTGCAGTGATCTCAACGAGTTGCACGAACTTCTCGAAGGCCAACTGGTTGCGCTTCTTCGTGTGGATGCCCTCGTGGACTGCGCAGTTCCTCTCCGCCGGAGAGGCGCAATACCACATGTGCATCACCCGAAGAGAGCACTGCTGCAACTCTGGCGCGCCATCCCCGAACTGAGACCACCAAGACGCGCACTCAATCGCCTCGGCGTCGCCGCTGCACGCACGCCCACGAGCACGCCCCTCCGCCCCGCCCCAATCGCCAAACCTGCCCTGCTGCATGTGGAAGTCCTCAAACTATCGCCATGCAAGGATGTACTCCGCACCCTCCAATTCGAAACCCGTCTGCATCAGAATGTTCCTCTTGGCTTGCCCCACAAGCCAAGCATGGTACCGATCCACCTCGCCTGAAAAGTAACGAACATGTCGCCTGCGGGGGTTCAGTAAGAACCCTGCTCAAGCATGTGGTGTGTGCGAGCCTACACACGCCTGATGATTCGGTCAGCGAAGGACTGCCCCAAAGGAGCGCATGTGTTTCATGCGTCCGTCCACGGTGGACAAGATCCTGTATCCACTCGATCTAGAGCGACATGTATTGTCCTCCAAGATCCATCCGCCTAAGCAACTGCATAACGGGCTCAATGATATGGACGATGGTGACCGCCCTCTGCCACCAAGGATCCCATCTGATCTATCGGCGCACCCAACGTGCCATGATGCACACATCGGCTGACCACGGGATGAAAGCAAAAGCCCGCCCGTCGTCCCCTCGCATCATGTCCTGCAAAGTATTCTGCAGGAACAACAACCTCTCCAACATGGAATAAACAAACGCGAACCGCGTCTCGCAAGAAAGAATAAGCCCCTTGTCGGGGCCGCGCCTCCTAAAAAAATGAAGGGCGACCTGGTGGGTTTTGACAAACACCGCCAGCACACAAGCACGTGTGATCGCATCCACAAACGCGTCTCAACTCGTCCCCATATCTGACAATAATTTGTTGCAGACATGGACGGAGCATGGGAGCCAAGTGATCCTCCTCAGTGCAAGAGGCATGGTCGACGAGGCCTTGCCCTTGCAGCCTCCACGTACGCAGAAGCGGAGTCGGTGCATATCGCATTGACCCGCTGCGGCCCACCGAACCTGAACTCGTGGAAGATGGTAACCCATCTCCGAAGGACGTGCTCTGCATCGTCCGATTCGCCCTCTCGATTGATCGTCATATACATGACGACCCCTCGCGAGCCCGGGGCGAGGAAATTCACGATCGGTCTCCCATCTCGTGATTTCCTCCCGTCGGAAAGGAGGGTGGCACCAGTCACCCAGAATGGCTGCCTCACCTCCTCCAACTCCTCCGCCAACTCCGCACGATGGGTCTCCACCGCCCATACTCGCAATCTCGCTGTGGCTGGGGAGTACAACGCGCGGGGAACTGCCAGGCTGCTCAAGAAGCACATGTTGATATGCCTTTCATGCCTGGTTGCGGAAGGCATTGAAGGAGACCAAGCTGGAATAGAGCCAGCGAAGGAAGGTCTTCTTGTGGCGAGCAACCCAATCGCCACCGTAGACCTCAGTCACCTTTTGTTGGCGAAGCATCTTTCCAGCTGGGGTGGCAGTCGGATCAGCTCCTCCTTCCTTCCTCTTTGAGGAACCTTCCCCCCTCGCACCCGTCGTTGCAGGGACCTGTCCCTTGCTTGCTCACCGCGGCCAGTCCTCCATCCTCTCCCCAATGCCACCTAGATAAAACTTTGGCACGTCCTCGTGTCCCGGGATTCCCTCCTCGTCCGGGCCACGCGCCTCGCGATCAACGTGGATCACGCCCTCCTCTGTGTCAGCGCATCCACCCTGCAATGGGTGGTCGGGTGCACCATGCCCACCATCTCCCCCGACCCCTGCCTCCACCGGACGCTGCCCCGCCTCTCCTCCCTTTGCACCACCCGGGCCAGCCACATCGAGTCCACGCTCTGCTGCATACCTGACAACCCTCTCCATCTGATCGGACTTGGACGAAGTGTTTCGTGGCCTGGTACTGAGTCCCTTGAAATACTTTGTTGCAAAACGTGCAACGCGGTATCATCACCCCCTTAATGTCGACCTTCTGGCCGACGACGGGGTACTGATACACAACGGTCCGGGGCAGGCTCATGCTGGCGTCGCTGTGCCCTACCCATGGCGACCACCCTCAAACCTGCTTAGAACGCCCCTCGCGAGCCAACCCTTGTTGACACACCCCAAACCCACCTTGCGACCCAACCCCCATCGACCGCTGGCCGTTGCAAACCCCTCCCCGACTCCACTCCCTCCCCCCCTCCCACACCCCCGCCCACTGTCCCCCCGCACTGCACAGACCCGCCCGAACACCACCGAACACCATCGAACGGCCACCTGCCTCACTCGTTGAATCGCGTTGAATGCCGTTGAATCGCCTTCAATCACGTTCAATTGTGTTGAACGTCGTTGAATTAAAAATTCAACGGCGTCGTTCGGCGCCGCGCGTGCAGATCCCCCGCTGTCGTCGAACGCGCTTCGCTGCTGCTCCCGCTTTGTCGCCGCTCTCGCTCCCGCTCCCGCTCTGCACCGCTCTCTCTCTCTCTCTCTCTCTCTCTCTCTCTCTCTCTCTCTCTCTCTCTCTCTCTCTCTCTCTCTCTCTCTC